GGGGTAGCACTGATTCACTGGAAGGCATATTGATGAGTTGGCAAGATATTGGTGCTGCGCTGATGAGCGCTGGACTCAGGGAAACTTTGAAACACTTTGTATTCATATTTTTGATAATATAAGCTGTGAAACTCGGTTCTCATCTTCTCTACCTTTGTCTATTATCAGACTACTGTTCGTTGTGTGTGGGAGTACGATGCTTGGCATGTACACACTTGTGTGAGATGGTCTCCAGGACCCAAGAAAATAGTTGAGGAAATACCTCTTCGGTAAAAACCTGTACCAAAAATCGTCGTTCTTTTCTCTTTTTCCCAGTCTTAATAGCAGCTGACCGCCAGATTTAACCCTGCAAGCTAACTTCCCTTCCCCGAAAATCAACAGAAAATACAACATGCTCCTCATCTTCCAATCCAAACCAATGCATGGCAACCAAAGCTAGCTCGGATGGACGGAAAGGATCTGAGAAACATTGTGGAGATCTGAGAATAACGCCTGGTTGAAGTGTGAACCATTCTCGGAAGATGAGCTGGAAGTCTCGTTTGAGCAGACTTCTGGACCCTTCCTCCCTTGGCCATTTCACCTCACCCAAAACACGTCCTGCAGTTCCCCCCAGCCAGTTCTGAAAAAATTGACAAATTGCTTGTTGTATAGTTTTTTTATGTTGAAATTTGTATAATTGTAATGTGAGTTTCCTCCACTGTTCCTGAATTTCGGTCTGAACAAAGTTGACAATTAGATCTATTATTTCCATGCCTTCCAAATTCTCACCTTCCCTCTCCCTCACGCAGCGTTTACACATCAGTGTCCAAAGGATTGCCTTACGGCCAATGACAAATAAATTTTGTTGGAAGTTAGAAAGTTGGAGACCAAGAGGTTCCCAATGTCCCAGCAAAATGACCCTCCAGTCCTAGGGCCATTCTAACCCCATCAAGGATCTCCAAACACTATCCCACCTCCTCCATAACAAAGCTGACCCCGCACATTGCATGAATATGTGCTCAATTGTCTCTCTAAATTTCTTGCTGGGAAAGGCCAAGAGACAAGACTTACACCAAGGGTGAGCTAGTCCTTTTTGTTCCAACGTAGAACGATCAATCAGCCAATCGTTTGTTGGCAGGCAACGATATGCAATATGCCATTGCAATGAGGCGAACCTAGCTGGCCGTTGTTTGATTTCTTCAAAAAACAAAATCTGTTTAATTAAATTCATATCAATGTTGAGATGTATGTCCCACCTTTCTTGTAGAACAGCAGTAATATCTGCTCTTGGCCTAAACAGGCGGTAAGCTGCCTTGACTGAAAGATCATGTAAGAATCATGACTTTCCTCCGCTGCTGGTCTGCCATACCCATTCTGCTAGGTCAATGGGGAGTTGTGGTATAGGAATTTCAGGATGGAACCCCCTCCATCGTTGAATGGAGGAGACATGGAGAACTTTGATCCTATACAGACACTTAAAAGGAAAGAACATCACCTCGTCTTCGGAGGGGGCGGAAATGAAATGATCTCTGTTAATCACAAGAAAGACTGACCAAAGCTCCATCCGGGAACAAGGAAACAACGTTGTCAGAAAACCCGGGGAGGGGTCGCCTGCTGTTCGCTGAAGCCAAGGGCAACGGCGCTTGTCACTCGCCACGCCCGCTTCCGAGGTCCTCAGCAACCAGCAGGGGGTGGGGATGATATGCTTGTCACGCCTCCACAGAGAACGTCAACTCAATAGCCTCCTCAGTAAACTTAAATAATTAAAAATAATAATAATAATAAAGTAAATAGTTCAGGCCAGGAAACAGTCGAACACTGAAGTACCGCGTTTTAAAAGAGAAAGTTGGTCTTGTAGTAAGCAGCATTATGTCCAAATCACAGCCATTCTAAGATCACAACGGTGAATCCCTGCGATTTGAAGTCCCCCTGAAGAACCCGTTGTCCGATCTTTGATTGACAGTTCCTTTCGGGACTGATGAACTCTAACCCGCGCGTCTGTTGGGAGGCTGCACAAAAACGGGCTCGTTTTTCCCGTAATGGCTCAGAAGTATTTTTTACAGGGATAATGCTCCGAAGGGTGATAGATAAAGCCAGAGGGGATCTCGTTAGTTAATTCATGTGCATCATCCAATT